TGATCATTCGACTGTAAAGGATTGACGGGTAAATTTCTTTTTCCTTAGGTTCAAAATAGTTTAGCTCCACCTTCTGCTGATCCTCGTGGATCTTGGAAGGAATGCAAGTTGAACCATGCACGTTGTAATTCATCTCAGATACAATTCCTTCAAGGTTGCTTAGTTTATGCACTTTTTGTTTTGTTCCATTAACGTTGGTATCCAACTTGAATGTGGATGTACTTATTTAACATTCTTCTCTGCTATTGAGATTCTTGGATTTTCTGTCTTCAACATTATTTACATTACCTCAGTTTTTGTAATGCTTTCTTTTATGTAGTTGATAATGTGGATGTATACGCATGTAACATTCTTCTTCTCTGGGTGCAGACTTTAGGAATGAAATGCTGAATGCATTTAAAGATTTCTCAATGTCCAAGCAAAATGGTTTGTTCATAAATTCTTGTTTTGCTCATTGCCAGTCTGAGAGGCAAGATACATGGTTTGCGGATGATTCTCCTGTTACTGGAAACAAGGTCAGCCTAAAACTAGAGATAGATACTATCTCACAGCATGTCATGGTGTCTTGAATTCAAACTGGAATGTCTTTTTTGTATGTTTTGTATGAAACTTTTTTCTTATTTAGCCAATTTATTACCTTAATCCCTGATAAATTTTTTTGCATGACTTACTTTTGTGCTCTTAGGCGATTGCAGTGTCCGTTGGAGACTGGTACTTCGATAGAGCCAGTGTGAAAGCTATTGATTGTGCATACCCATGTGATAAAACTTGCCATAATCTGGTCTTTAAGTGACAGCAACGCATAGTTATCCCATGTTTTTATATCATCCTTGATCGTCCCAATTGCCATTATTGGAAACTCCGACAAGACTGCTGCTCCGTTGTGAAGCTCAAATTATTATTGTTTTGAATTCTCATTGGTATTTGTGCCATCTATGATTAGTGGCAAAATGTTGATGGCAAACGTCGGTTCGCTGTTTGCCTGTAAACAAACGAAACTTTCTTCTGGGAGCAAATGATAAGAAAACGTGTTAGTGTTGTTTACTACTCCAGTGAGGGACGCGAAACTTGTTGGAAAAGTGTGCATTCAACTTCGATCTAGATGCTAAAAGAGAAACTAAAACAAAATCTGATTTTGGACTATTGTTTACTCCATAATAAGTCGAAACAAATTGCATACACCGCGTAAAACGGGAACTGTTCCTAATCAAACCAGGAAAGTCAGTGGCTTTTGGAATTGCATCAATGCCTCTACTTTACACCACATATTTACAAGAAAGCTCATCTATATATCAGTGAACAACCAAAAATCCGTTGAAAAGAAGAAAATAGGTAGGGAAGGAAGCTTGAAAATATTCTTCCTGTTGTGAAAACCCATAAAGTTGTGAAGATTTAGCAGAGGAGGCAATCGGTTAGTAGATGGTGGGGCGAGGCGTAGAAGCAAGAGCCACCGCTTGCGCCCATCTCTTGAGCCGAGCCTTAACGTGCTGTGGATCATCCCCTGTTGAGTTGATACATACATTAGGGTTTAGAAATTATATACCCAACAATTGTTTGTGTTAATTTGAGAAACAGAAACAGAGAGAGATGGAGGGGATACTAACCAGGGCTAGAGATGTGGGAATTTCCACCATTATTGATATCGAGTGCTGAAGCAGGTGAGATGGAAATACGAGAGGGCATCTCCAGCTCAAACCCAAGATCTCTGCATGCTTTCACTTCCTCCAAGTGCATGCACATCGATCTCCTCCCACCCTTGGGCCTTGCTATCAACATTACTCCACCGCTCTGCCTCTCACTATAACCCATCTTAATTCCCATTCCCCCCGACTTGCAATTTTCGGCTCCTTCCATTCTCCTTCTTCTCCTTTTCCTCACGTCCCTCGTACACTTTTTAGCTTCATTTTCGCTCATGCAATCTTTATTACCACTCTTTCTCTGAATCCGTGGAGGTGTAGCCGGTAGTGAGTAAAAACCGGATTCAGAGTAATTTTTCTCTTCATTGGACAACTCCTCGTCATCCGCGTCACCTTCAAAACTTTCTATGGACATTTGAGACATGCTGCCACATCCAATCCCATTTTCATACAGCTCGGCACTATTGTCACCATACATACAACTGCTGGTACAAACGGATAGCCTACACAAGTTGACAACTTCATCATCATCACATCCATCATCCATATGATCATCTTTGTAATCAAGTCGGTGATCATGCAAGGCCATTATGTGTGTTTTCTTTTGTACAAAGCTGAAAAGAAAGAGATGGGGGCAGAGGCAGTGGAAATTAGGAGCACATGGGAGATTGTGAAGGGGATAGACAGTTAGAGGGAGAGGGAGAGAAGGGTTGGGCTTATTTCTAGAGGACTTCAATTTATCTGCTCTTAGTGTCAGTGATAAGCTAAAAGCATACATATATACAGTATGAGTCCCTTTGAATTATCAAAGTAAAACATGATGAATATTGGAGTTTTTTTTTTCGTGGAACATGTAAAATGACATTGTGGCCTACTTTGTCGGCCTAACTCCTAAAAATAAACTGAAACCGCGTACAGGTACAGTGCAGTATAGCCATTTGCCAAACCAAAATAATTAATTAAAGATAATATAGAGAGAGAAGTTAAAACTTAACGACGGGTGTCCGCGGATGGTGTTGTCATTGGAAAGCTCAAAGCAGAGACGATTAGCAGCCGCGTTTGAATATAATAATAATAATAATTACGCAGTTGGCCTATGCATATGCTGTGACCTATGGACTTCCACCACTTGGCAGTTAGCAACTGTGCCTGTTCCTGATGTCCCCTCCTCTTCAAGGTCTCACCACCGCCACCGCCCATCCCTTTGACGCCTTTAATAAACTATCATTATCATATAACATTTCTCCCTCTATGCAGTACGCCCAAACATTTTAATGATCTTTCTATATTCAATTACGCAACGGGTGGCCACGTTCTAAAACACATCCTCCTCTCCATTTACTTTCGAATTCTTTTCATTTGGTCAAAACTACCAAAGATAAGAAATTCACAATCACAATCACAATCACAATCGACTGAATTACTTGTATAAAGAGTTAATTAACCTACCCTAAAATTAAGCTGATAATGGGAGATGCTGCTTGGACAAATTACTTTGAAGAAATGCATTTTATTAGGAAAAAATTAGATTTCGGTAATGAATTTTCATGTCAAATACCATCCCAGTGATATCTAACGATTTAAATAAAACAACAATTTCATGGTGCATTACCTTGTTATTATGTTTTCACATAATGATTAATAAAATTAAAATTAAGAATTAAGAATTTAAAAAGATTAAGGACATAATTGAAAATTATCTAAAAAATTATCGACTATTAAATATATTTAACCTCTATTATTATCTCCTTTTTGGGACAGTAATAAAAAACCAAGACATTATATTTTAAAATAATAATAATAATAATAAATCTAGTAAGGTTGAATCTTGAGTTTGATGTTTAAAGTCCCAAAATTAATAAACAGATTTTAAAAGATTGGGTATAATATAGCTGAAGCTGAACCAAGTGAGCATAGAAAAGAAACTCCTTTTGCGCGCACGCACTCAATGTCATAAGGGAGTTCATCAAATCTAGAACCTCCTAAGGTTCTGAATTGGATGAATTAGTGGATTCTTGAAAGATTGAAACTCGAGATTCTTGAAAGATTCTGAATTGGATGAATTCGTTGATCTTTTGGCCGCCCATAATGTGGTTCCTACTTCGAATGAAGAAGATAAAGACGTTGGGATCTAGCTTCCTCCAGAATGTTTTTGGTTTCCTCTCTTTGTATAGGTCACAAACTAATTCATCTAATCTGTCCAATGTTTCATATGCAGCTATCTTAGTGCTCTCATTTGGATTCTTTTGCAAGGGAAATTCAATACAAGTGGTGAGCTTTAAAAAAAAGAAAAAAAAAAGGCGCCTCCTAACGCAGCCCTGCTTCCGGATACCTTCAATTTGTGTTATGTACTGCCAATTGTGAACGTTCTGTCCCACCTTTTCTTTCATTATCCATATGCAAGGTGTTGGTGGGGCTAGTTTCAGTTTTAATATCGCTAGGAGTTTTGCTTCAGACGTTCCGGGTAACTTGTATTCCTTGCTTGGTGTCCGGTTTTTTCTCCTAAAGTTCATCTTCTTTGCACCAACGCCATAAAAGCTTTGTTGGTAGGCTTAAGGTTTGAAAGAAATCAAAGGATCATCGAGAATAAGAGTAGATCAGCATCCAATTGCTTCAATGTAGCCAAATTCAAAACTTCACAATGGGTATTTCTTTCAAATTTATTCGAGGATTTTTCTCCTCTAATTTGTTCTGGGAAGCCTTTACTTTCCCCACCTAATCTTATTTTGCTTCCGCTTATGTTTTTATCTCTTCTCTTTTTCACTTTTTCAAGAGTTTGTATATTTGAACGAAGTTTTTTTTAGTTTTAATTTATCAATGAAAAATTCGTTTCTAGTTAAATAAAAAAAATGGAGTTTAAGATTTCGATTAATACAAACCATGCACGAACATCCAAATAGCTAGGTTCGTAGATAATCTAGGTTGTACTGGTTTATCAAAGGACAAAAACAATATTTAGGTTGTCCTGGTGCTTATGAAGATGAGGATAAAAAATACAATTACAGCATTAAAGAAATTAGGTTAACCTGACAGTTAAGCACAAACAAAGCGTAAATAAAAAGCAACCTGCCAAGCAATATAAAGGATACCGTTCTTTTTACCTAGAAGATGCACGGGGATAGTAATCCTATGTGCCCTAGGCAAACTCTCTAACTGGATACCTCGCTGTGCAAAGTGCAGTTTAACATTCCTATTTCAAGCACATTGCTATCACGTGTTTCAGCTGCAGTATCTTCCCTCTTCCCGACTGCAATAAATTGAAAGTAAACAGGTATATGAACTCCTCGGTGATTTTAGGGAGAAAAAAAGTGTTACTGAATTAATACCATCATAAAACATCATTGTAGAGAAAATCGGAACAAATAAAAGATAGACCAAAGATAGGCCGCAGCCAAAAATCCAAACAGCCAGACCTGCAACAATTCTTGATTATGTGCATGAAATTTTAATGACCACCCACTAAAATCTCTACACATAAAACAGTTTATAAAAATAAGAGTAACCTGGTAAGTTTTACTCGGATATGGTGTAAGATACTTTGGTAGATTAATGGTATATTTGGAGTTGCTTTGAACATCCTAGAAGTAAAAACATTTTAAAATTTTCATGATGAATGGTTGGATACCAAAAAGAATGATTTTGAATATTTCTAGAAAAAATTACTCAACATAGAACCCTTTTTTTTCAAAAGTACACTGGGGAAAAAATTGTTTTATGTAAAATTATTTTTCTTAGAACATACTTCAAAGCTCACTCTAAATAGCCAATTTTTCTAACATAAAGTGAACATGCAAAACATAAAATGTATATCTGACCAGCTATATGACTATGTGGCAATAATTTACCAGACTGGAGCCAGAAATTTTCTTGAGGGCAAAACTCCGATTAAGTCAATTTAAGTAAATAAAGGTGAGTAAACTGGGAAGAAAATTTTTATAATTAATCTTATATACACATGTTTTTAAAGTTCTAAAAAGTCCCAACTTCCGTCTCTGGAAAAAATGAGAACCTACCTCGTGGATAGCTTCAATTCTCCTCTGTGCATCTGTGAGTTGCGTGTCAACTGCCTCTTCCACTTGCAAGAGAGTATTACGGTTTGTTGCTTCTATGAATTCAAAATACTATTAGAAGTTACCAGATTCTTCAAAATTTATACATAATGTTCCAGACACAAACTTTTCAAAAGGAGGAAGACACTTATTTTGTTTCCATTTGAAAAAGAAAAAGAAAAAACAAAGCTAACAATAATTTCCAATTGAAGGAAGAATGAATACATGATTTTCACCGCATTGACTTTCCATTTAGATATAATTTATCATATTCCAATTCGAAATTACTGAATTAAATCTGCTAATCTCCGAAGATGACTAGTCCATTGAAAATGCTCCATAATGCAGTCGCAACAGCAGTCAATATTATAAATGAGCTTGTGCCCACAGCAGCAAGGATCTTGAGATAATTCGATTCAGGAAAAAGAAAAGGATCTTGAGATAATTCGATTCAGGAAAAAGAAAAGGATCTTGAGATAAGCGCTATTCGCATGAACTATTTTTTTATATTTATATGACATATTTTGCAATTTCTTCATACATCGGAATCCAATTGCAACACTAAAAATTTGTATTGAAAATTCAAAGTAAAAACTACAATAAAGTAATCTCAAAAAGTTTGAAAACCCGTACCCTCTTCTCAATCAAACTCAAAAGTCAAAACCCAAAAATAAAATTGATTGCTTTTTTATCTTCCTATTCTAATTATTATTATTCTCTAAGAATAGGGAGTCAAAGCTTAGCCAGTAGGACCAAGAGACCTCAAGCTCTAGCCAACTGCCCCAAATACACAATCCCATCAATAGTCTGCTGCCAAAACACACAGAGGAGACTGAATGCCTGGGGCTATTCTAATTATAAATTATTAAATAATATAACCACCTCTCATCTAATATAACTTTCATGTCCAATCTATCACAATCCCATCAAAAGTCTGCTGCCAAAATACACAGAGGAGACTGAATGCCTCAACTTTGTACCAAGTCATTTTGATCCAGAGTGAAAGTTCAAATATTGCAGTGCTGACTTCTTAAAGTTCAAGGCACCAACTATCTTAGGTTCAAATTTTGACCTCATATTTGTTGAACTAAAAAAACAAATCCAGTACACTTTGGTACTTGAATTTTCTCCCCAAATAACTTCTATGTCCGGTGTCACTTAAATAAATTTTCCAAAAGAGAACTCCTGGATGAAGATCGAAAATGGAATTGATAATTTGAATGTGACTTCTTCGGCTTTTTTTCAAATGCTAGGTTTATCTGATACAACAAAAAGGATATAGTACTTGGCACTTTTCAGAGAACTTGAACACATCCTAAGGTCACAACTCTCAGATTCAGATCTGATGGACTGACTTGTGTGGGTCCACACAAGCCAACGACACAAAATGTAATACTCCTCGTTGCTCCTTATTCTTCACAACTCTTGTTGTTATTTAATAATCTTCTTTCTCACCCTTGTTTAATTAATGGACACTTCCAAAGATAGAAACTACTTTGATTTAATAGGAATACACTATACACACTGAACAGCTATTTCAAAGTAAGCGAGACAGAATTTCTTTTTCCCAAATCAATCGGTTATTGATTTGACAAAGCCCAAAAAGGCGATAAAGACAAAAGTAAAAACACAAAGTAAAATTAACACGAAAAGGTAGAAATAAAAATCACTCAATTCATACAATATCTTGTAAAGCATAATCAGAAAAAAGCTTGGAAAGAGCACACTATTAAGGTTCTGCAAACACCAAGCACAGTAAAATGCAATGGCTCTTTAAGATTAAATAAAACAAGAAACAAAGAAAAGCCTGATGAATAATGATATCAAGACAAATTAAAGAAACTAGACCTTTTTTACAAGGTTCTCCAAGTATATGATTTTATTCTTATTTATTTTAAAAAGTATTCTAAAATACCCCAAGTACCAAGAAAGTATCAGAGCCCCAAATCATAGATCATGATTAGAGGCAGAAAATGAACAGGTTAAGAAAATAGAGAGCAGCAGGTGCAGGCAATTCATGTAATTGAGAAAATTTAAAGCAACGTAACAGAACATACTTTGCTTCTCCATAATTCCCTTGAACTCTATCTGTTGTGCTTCCAATTCTTGTAGTGAATTCCTACAATCCTGGAGATGCTGGTTAACCTCCTCCTTGAACCTTCTATTGAGATGATTCAACTGTTGCTGTTGTTCTGTAAACATAGAACTTAATAAAAACTGGTTAATCTTCCAAAAAAACATAAAATTATAATGTTGATGTCCAAGCATATACGGCGCAAAGTAAACCTGAACCTAATGCGAAAGATGGGAAATTACTCTGCACAACATGAAATGAAATTGATCTCTAATAGAATTTTAAATATCATAAATAGCATAGTGTAAACCAACCATTGGCCAAATATGTGCAGCCACTTAATGTAACATAGAGCTTACGAATCTTCCAAAAATAAAGCCTTATAGGAAAATTTGGGCCAAATATGCCGAGTATGTTGGACACTAATGTCTCAGAATAATTACCCTCAGGGGCAGAGGGAAGAAGGATGGAAGAGGACAAGTTTGTTCATAATTTTTTTCTTTTTTTTTTAAGCAAGAAACAAACTTTTCATTGATATATGAAAAAAATGTTCCAAGATACTAACTTCCGAATGAGTGAGGAAAACATAAAAATAGAGAGCATAAAGTAAGAGAAAGATACAACTAAGACAGCCAATAGAAGACAAATAAGAAGAAAAAAAAAAGCCTCCAAATTAGAGCAAATCATGCTAGGAGAGTAATTTTCAAAACAATTGAAAAGAGCACACCATTGAAAAACTTTGAACTTGACGATTGTTGTAATTCAAATTTTATATATAAGATACCTAAAATTTTGGAGTTTTCCTTTGTTCCCCCCAAATTTTTAGAATTGACAAAAGTTAGCAGGTAAAATTTTTCCCCTCGAACTTTTTTTGGCTCCACCCTTGATTACCATGAACCTATTTCAGAGATTTTTGGAGAAAAATAGAACATATGATGGACTTATTTTATGTAGTTGGGAAGTTCATTTGGCAGCAAGAGAAGGAAGTTAATGATTTATGAATTCAAATTTCATAAACTCCAATTCAAAAAAGTTATAGCTCTCTAGAGTTCGAACATGTTTAAGTTGGTTACCCAAGCAAGGTGAAAATGGACAAAATCTCGTAAATTAGAATTTCATCCCAATAAATATCAGGTAATGGATAAGGTCCAGTTCAGAAGAGGCTTACATTCACCATTGTTAAAAACCATTCTATAAAGCTAATTTTAACAGTTGAGAAAGTGGTCGATTTTTTAATTAAAAACCCATCATATAATTATGCTACCTTCAAATCTTGTTTCTATAATTTTTCGTCTTGATTTACCAAGGCTGAACTGCTTTACCCTGCAATACCGTCACAAATCATAGTTTTAGAAATTTTTATCTTGTAAACACCAACCAGTAATGTGAATCCATAGACTTACATGTCCATATGGATTTGAGACTCAACATTCTGCAACTGCAAATGAATACTCTCGGCAGCTGACAACAAA